ATCACTAAAAGGTTTTTTGAAAAGTGTTTTGTTAAAAAAAACGAAAACTAAGAAAACTATAAGTGTAAATAAGGTAGCATACTCACCTAGACCAGAAAGATTTAAAGACGTTAACGTGGTGTTATCACTAAGAGCTTTTGAAAACAGCTTTCACTTAGACCGGTACTTCTTGTCGATTCTAGGCTCGCCACCTTTCCTTTATCAGCCTTCTTGCTTTGGGCGTTCTTGGAAGTTTACACCTTTCCCTCTTCAGATCTAATTTTGTTGTCAATTAGATCTATACTTTTAAGCCCTTCAACAATAATCCCATCCTTGTAGAAGGCTCTCGGTTGGTAAGTTAGAGATAGAAGGCATTTTTTTAGAGAAAAATATGTTGGTTTTTTGGGGTTTTTTTGGTGAGAAAAAAACTGAAACGCGAAGGCTTGTTTAAACAGTAATGGTTTGCAGCGTGTTAAATACATATAAAACTGTATATTTAATATTTAGCGTTTGAATACATCAAAATAAACATCACTCATAAATCACATGGACTTTAACCAATCATATTTCAACTATTTCAAATCTCTGAATATCGCATCTTGACGGGTCACGGGTCGAAAATTGCCTTGACCCGGTCAATTAAATATACGAATAAATTCCAATGAATTGGTTTTCCTAACGTAAAAAATAAAAGAACTCAAATTATGAGAAAGGTTGAGAAATTTTTTGATACAAATTCCAAGAAATTCCAATTTATCTCGGCACATATACCGATATACTAAATTATCAAGCTTGACCATGCGACTATTGACCGGTGTTAGAAAATGGCGATGTTTTGTAGGCTGGAGCCTTAATTCTTAGGCCTTATACTTTAGAATTAAATTTAAAAAAATTTTATAGATTGTTATTATATATTATATATATATTTAATAAATTCATAATATAAATAGCTATTACATATTATATTTATAAGACTAGGAACCGGAAACCGGTGGGAGTCTGGAGCGACAAATTTTTAATAACTTTACTAAAATACACCATAAATATTAAATATATACTATATATTACACAACATATTAACCAATAAAATTTATAATTTTTTTTTTTTTATTATATAATATATATAAATTTAAATTTAATACATATATTTGAAGCCAAAACTGTCCCGAATAAATTTCTACAACTAAACCATAATCTAGCTCTAACCCTAAAGTCCCAATAAAATTATCCTAATAATTAACCTTAAAGCCTAAGTTGAGATCCGCTCAATGTTTAATAACAGACTATATGTGATTACAGCCATTTTCAAAAATGTGAACGATTTCCATATACCTAAGTAAAAAATCAAAGAATTTAAAATTTAGATTAGTAAGAATTATAGCTGTTTTCAAAAAGGTGTGAATGGTTACAGATCAACATGTTAGGAGGAATTCATGATATCATTGTAAGTATTTCGGTGGTTCTTGTGACTTGCACATATATATGTTGAATTAGCTAAATTTATTACATGCACAGAAATAAAGGCCCAAGATTCGCCATGTCCTGGAGCTCCTGAATCTGAATTACCATTAATTGTCAGTGTAGCTGAGGGCTCCATATTTTTGTCCGAAGTGTAGCTGAGAACACTATATTTTTTAGATATTTGAACATCTGTCACGTCAATAAAGCACATTCGTAATCTGTAACACTCATATTCATAACTACAAAAATATTCTAGAACTTATGATTACATTCAAAACTGCTTTTAACATTCTAATAAATATGTTCGTATACAATACGTTACCGGTAATCTCACATTAACACCTAATTTAGTACTATATCGATAAAAAACTATATATAAAATAAAGGTATTTAATTCTTAAAAATAAAATAGCGAATATCGCATAAATATTATAACTTAATAAATACTTCGATATAAAGAAAAGAATATTTTTTTACCGGAAAAATAATAAGTTACTAAAACTTTTTTTCACTGATTATAGTAGTTATTATAAGTCGTTAAACCACTCTCATATATGCACATACAATATTCATTAAGGTGCACAGAAATTAGTCGTGAATATTAAATCCACCTTTTTTAATTTCCAGATATTGGTTATTAAAAATTGAATGATATCTGGATAAATTTATTGAATATTCAAATACTTCTAGTGATTTGGCATAATTAGTGTCTCAAAAATCCCTACCCGGGTAACCCGCGGGTGACCCGGGTGAGTCCCGATAATAGAAAAAATTCTGCTACGGGTCACCCGCGGGTGGGTCACCAAAAATCTTGTATAAATTAATCGTTCCAAGACTCCTAAAAACCTTGATTTGGCGAAATTCAAGGCTTTCGGGTCTTGTTGCGGTGCAACTGATGATAAGTACCTTACTTGAATTCGGCTTTGAATGGTTATTTTCAGCATACAAAATATTTTAAAACTTTAATTTTAAAAAAATATGAATTACTCTGGTTAGACGTTATGACAATTTGAAGGGTTATGAACCAACTTGTATATACAAATACCGTAAAAGTAATATTTATTATATACGGGATCTTCTTTTAACATGTACTTTCGTGTAATATGTTTATTAAAAGTTTAATTAATATATAGTGCATTTTTTATATTTCTTGTTAAGACTTAATTGACATATTAAACATGTTGGGTAAGCATTCGAACGAAAGTTTAATAATGTTGACATTATTGTTACAACGGTCTGTAAAACAGTCATTATGAAACAAAAGTAGTTTTTATTATACGGATCAAACTAATTGATCAAAACTTAGTTAGGGTCATATATGATGATCATTAATTTCGGATTTTTTAAAGGGTTATTTCACTTATAAAATTTGTACTAATTTAGGTACATTTTAGCGTAAGAAAGTAACGAAATTTTAAATACTCACGAAGACCGGCGCGAAACAACAGCGGAGCGACGAAAAAAAAAAGACGAAACATAAAAAATCACCTTTCATGCACTAACAAAAAGTTTTCCTTGAGCGATTTACTATAACCGACTAAACCCAAACCCAAACCTAATAAAGCACTACGGCGATTAGGAGAATAAAAAATAAGCGCCACTGACCACGAAGAAAGAACATCGAAATGGTCGGCACCAACGACGAAAAAGGGATGACACTGAGTGGACGACATCAACGGCGAGTGAATGGCGACACCAAAATGGACTGAAAAAAGGACGACTGGAAAATAAAAAATAAAATATAGATATTGTAATACCAGTATGTAGTTAAAAGTTAAGTTAGTCTACATTATAATTAGCTATGATTTCCGTTGAAAAGTTGCTGTAAAAAATTCTTTTACAAAATTTACCCACTATACCACTAATACCAGTATGTAATTAAAGTTGAGTTAGCCTATGTTGGAATTATCGTGTTTTTTATCGCAAGTTGCTGTAAAAATTCCGTTTCTGTTACTGAACTTAATTGATATTACAGTATCATGCAGCATTCATAATTAAAGATTAGTTTGCATTAAAATTATTGTGACTTCTATTATAAATCAGTAAGAATTCTGCTACAGAGCTTACCTGCTATTCCGATAACACCAGTATATAGTTAAGTTGAGTTGATTTGTGTTGAACTTATTATGATTTTTATCATTTTACCACTCTAGCAATTCACAGATATGGTTGAGTTAATTTCATTGGAATTATCGTGATTCCTGTCATGAGTTACCATAAAAAATTCTAATAAAATATGTGATTAAAGGTTGAGGTAGTCTGTATTGGAATTATTTTGATTCCTATCGTGAGGTACTGTAAAAAAAATTGATACAAGACCTACTTGAATTTGAGGTAGTTTGCATTGAAAATTATCGTAATTTCTATCTCAAGCTGCTGTAAAAATTCCGTTTCTGTTACTGAACTTATTCGTTATTGCAGTACCATGCAATATTTGTAACTAAAGATTAGTTTACATTAAAATTATTGCGGCTTCTATTATAATTCTGCTACAGAGCTTACCCACTATTCCGGTATCATACAGTATATGATTAAGATTGAGTTGGTTCGTGTTGGATTAATTGCATTGAAAATATCGTAAAAAATTCCAAAAAATATGTGATTAAAGGTTGAGTTGGCCTGCATTGGAATTAGCATGATTTCTATTGTAAGGTACTGTAAAAAAAAAATTGTTAATGGATGAGTTAGTCTAAATTGAAAATTATCGTGATTTGTATCATAGTTAATATAAAAATTCTGTTTCTGTTACTGAACTTATTCATTATTGCAGTACTGCACAGTATTTGCAGTTAAAGAGTAAGTTAATTTGCATTAGAATTATCGTGACTTCTATCATAAGTCACTATAAAAATTTTGCTGCAGAGCTTACTTGCTATTCCGGTACAGTATATGGTAAAGGTTGAATTGGGTTGTAATTTTTATTTCCTGTTGTATATTACTGTAAAAAATTCTGGTACGTGATTAAGGTTGAGTTAGCCTGCATTGGAATTATCGTTCTATCATAAGTTACTGTTGGTATCATATCAGATATGATTGGTTGCTAAACGTGTAGTTTGCTTTTGTTCCACGAATATGCAAAGGTACGCGGCGTTACAGACGGAAAATGCAACAACTACGTTTTTGATTTTTTATTATAGACGTATCAAAAACGTAATTTCGGTCACAACTGAGCGTAGAAGTATGAGTCTGTCGCTTCGCTCCAGACAATTCGCTCCAGACAATAATTAATTTCATTATAACAACTTCTTCAGTTTCCTTAGGTATGGGATTTGGAACAAAGGTATGTGTGATATAGTTATCTGACTGTCAACAACATCGCTTATATCACTGTTATTTGTTAAATTAACTGACTAAAGTTGTAACTTACCAGGCGAATTCTTTTAGTACACCCATTAATATTGCATCTTGCACATAATCTCTCGAACACAGAACCATGTTTATGATATATCGTGATCAATTTCGATATTTGCATATTTGCACGCTTTACTTTAAAATCATGGAATGTATTACAATCTTGTCCGGTTCGTCGAACAACTAATGTAATTAATCATGTGACCATGTATCCGAGCTGTCCGCCTTTAAGATTGAAAATAGTTAGCATAGGAAGAACCTGCGCAATTAACATTTCCTTAACTTGGCTAAGTTGAGGCAATTCAGTTGGTATCTCTCTAAAATAGAAAATCGTACTAAATATAAAATACATTTTTTACATTAACGTTATTTATTATATACCTGGATCCATATCATTATCGAAAACCTCGATTTGTCTCTACTACATCTAACGCAAGAATCCGTTTTATCATCCAATATACCGAAGGAAAATATTCTTTACGAGTAGGGCAATAATTATTTTTAAGATCTCGAAACTTTTTGAGAAGGTCACGATCATCATCATGCAGGTAAAATTTTGTTTTCTAAAATAATTTATTAGTTTGTAGACTTAATTTAATTTAAAAATAATAATTTTATTTAATCACCTTCTTCATTTGTTCGTCTTGATTTGTGTTCTCCTTTGCTTTAATATTAGATGTTAACTGACGTTTGCAACGAACCTGTCTCTTTTCTGATTCTGTTCTTCAGTCATTAAACTTTTCCGTTTTCTTCTACCTTCATTTTTATGGCTATTTGTTCGGGTGTGTAAGTTCTTTTTTGTTTGTCCATTTTAACTAAACCAAAAAGAGACATGGTAATGTTTTTTTTTTTTACTTATCTGTTATTAAATATGCTTGCTTACGATACGATGACATATATAAATTCTTATTTTTGTTGATAAATAAGTATATTGCTACGACATACATATGTTGCATACGATAGATGATATATTTATTTATGATGATATTAATACTTTTTAACCGATAAATTATTCATTTTTATTAATAGTCAGTTAATATATTTTATCTTATCAAATTTTTCATCTTTATTACAAATTAATTTCTATAAAAAAACTAAGCATAATACTCTATTGAATTACATTAAAAATATTCGATTTTTTAAGACAAATTCCATTCAAAGTCTTTAACGCTAATATCTATTTTTTTTTTTTAAAAAAAAAAAAAAAAATTAAGTAAAATTAAAATAAAATAAAATATTAAATTTGTTTCTTTATTAAGGAAAGTGCATACCAATTCCTCCTCCAGA